TCATAATATTATAATATCATAATATTATGATATTATAATATTATGATATTATAAATCATAATATTATAATATTATGATATTATAATAGAGGTTAGCACCAACTTTTTCGTAGCTATAATTAATCAAATTAGTAATTTAATCTGATAGAAAATCTAACCCAGTATGTTATGCTGGATGAAACAGATATCGAGTTCAAGTCAAGTTTAATGTCATTCGCATCACATGTGGTACATGAGGTGGAACAAATTATGTAACCCAACCCTGCCGATACAAACTAAACCTAATTTTATCGAGACGTGTCCAAACCTCTCGATACTGTGGATCATGACATCTTGCACCATCAGCTCTCAGAGATTGGTTCGCTCGGTTTTCTAACTATCTTTCAGGTCAGAGGCAGTTTGTTCAACACAAAGGTACTTCATGGAGCAATTTAACATTCACTAATAGAGTGCCACAAGGCTCAGTTTTAGGACACATTCTTTTTACAATTTATATAAATAATGCATGTCGAAACATTCCTGGCGCATCCTTACATTTCTATGCAGATGATACAATTATTTATTGTCAAGCTAACACAGTTGCTACGGTTTGCCTGCATTTGACATCATCCAGTCCGATTTGTTCCGTCTCAAACTGCTAAATGATGAAAAAACCAAAGGGATGTTGCTTCCAAACAGGAAGTCTGTGCCAAATAAATAAAGGTTGAATGAATAAACTCCTCCTTGAATCACCACCTTATCGTGGTGGAGGAGTTTGTAGGAGCTCTGCAGTTGGGGCCAGTTGTAATTGCCCCTGTAGGGTCTCTTAGGGCAGATTGGTTCTAGGTGACAGGCCGGACAAAGAGCGATTCAGAAGACTTGTATGGACAAAAGAAAATAAGGAACTCGGTGCACCTTGCCCGGATGTGGGTTACCAGGGCCCCACCCTGGAGCCAGGCCTGGGGGAGGGACTCGTTGGTGAGCACTTGGTGACTGGGTCTCTGTCCATGTTGCTCAGTCGAGCTCAGCTCAAATGAGCAACATGGGTATGTCTTCCTGTGGACCCACCACCTGCAGGAGGGGCCATATGAGTCAGGTGCATGAATCCATGGGCAGTGGATGAAGGTGAGGGCCTTGGTGCTCTGATTGTGTCTTACCAAAGCTGCTCTTGGGACATGGAACGTGACCTCCCTGGGGGGGAAGGAGCCTGAGCTTGTGCGTGAGGTTGAGAGGTACTGACTAGATCTAGTTGGACTCACCTCGATGCACAGCATGGGCTCCAGAACCGATCCCATTGAGAGGGGCTGGACCTTATTCCACTCTGGAGTTGTCCATGGTGAGAGACACCGAGCTGGTGTGGGTCTACTTGTAGCCCCCCGACTTGCTGCCTGGGTGTTGGAGTTTCCTGCGGTAGATGGAGGGTGGCTTCCCTGCACCTTCAGGTGGGGGGACGGGCTCTGATCTGAACCTGAGCGGTGTTCTGTTGTTGGACTTCTGTGCTCGTCATAGTTTGTCCATCATGAACACCATGTTTGAACATCACGGTGTCCATAAGTGCACTTGGCACCAGGTGGACCTAGGTCGTAGATCGATGATTGGCTTTGTAGTCGTGTCGTCTGATTTACGAACGTTTGATTTGGACACTCGGGTGAAGAGAGGAGCTGAGCTGTCAACTGATCACCACCTGTAGAGAGTCGACCGACCGACCGACCAACCAACCGACCGACCGACCGACCGACCGACCGACCGACATATACTTTATTGTTCCCAAGGGGGAATTTGTCTTGGACATTGTGCACTGACAAAGCTTCTTCTACAATTAAATACACTGCAAACAATAAAATCACGTGAACACCACAATAAAATAAAAAACACCTATTATTCAATAAAAACACATGTTGCACATTCCCACATACATTCCATCAAGTAAACGACACAATGAGACCAGAGCATCAGCAGCATGACAAAGACTACATGTCTACGTTCTTTAACAATCTGACTGATGTAGAGACAAATTAATTTTTAAATCTGTTAAATCTAGGCTGGGACTCTAAACCGTTTTCCAGATGTTAACAGTTCGTATTGTGAGTTGAGGATGTGAGCGCCTCCGAGCACGTCTGAGGACAGACTGCAGGGAGGGTGATCAGTCCTATCTCCTTCGCTGCAGTCTGTACCATGTGACTAACTTTAGATTTAAGTTGCACAGAGAGATGACCACACCACGCTCACATCACAAACCTGACGATACTTTCCAATACGGCCTGATAGAATAAAACCATAAACTTCTGGTTAACCCCAAAGACTCTGAGTCTTCGTAAAGAGTACGTAGACTCAGACTTTTAGTCTCAGTTGGATCAGATGGCGGGCGGAGACGCTGGACAGACCGGGTAGACCCAAACATGTAGTGAGGGTTTGCTGGGAACGCCTGGCAGAAGAACCCATCAGAAAGATCTTTCACACCTCAGGGAACTTTAACCACATCCCAGCTGAGGCGGGGACACTGAGTCCGAGTGGGTCCACGACTCACTTGTTGAAGTGGCTGCAAGGTTGTCGGTGCTTCTCTCAGTGGCCATCCTACAGGCTGAGGAGGGGAAAGCAGCTCTTTGCTAGCTCTGTGAAGGTGAGGTGAACCTCAACCAGTGATGTCGTCGGGAGGTGGCAGGAATACTTCCTGGACCTTCTCAATCACAGATTAAAATCATGCAGGCCCAGGCCTCCCTTGCAGAAGAGATCTGTGATCTCAATGGGATTTGCCTGGTTAAATAAAGGTTAATAAATAATAAATTAATAAATAAAATTAATCAGGTCTCTCTTGTAGATGAGTCCTGGAGGCTCAGTGTGACTAACCTGTAGAAATAAAGGTTGAGTGAATGAATTTGCAGCAACCAAACGTCCTGTTGTGTGAATCTGGCTTGAGAACTGTAAAGTTTCTTTACATCCTGCTGGTCTCACAGAGCAGGCTCCTGTCAGTCATCATGAAGCTCCAGTGGTGGAGGTTTCATATAAAACAGAAAACTGCCCTTGTTACCAGGACAACATCCACAACAGCATCACTGCCACATGTCAGGAGTCACTGTGGGTTGTTGGTCTGACAGCTCGCTGGTCACGTCTGTTTTCACCTGATGAAACGAACACGCAGTGTCTCAACCAGATGACTTTACGCTGAACTCAAGAGTTCTTTCAGATTTCTTTAACGGGATTAAAATGCAACTTTTAGGATTATTTGACTGTGAAGAATCAAACCAGCTACTTTCTTCAGATTGTTCATGCAGACTGTCATGGCTGTCAGTGTTGCTGAGCGGTCACGATAATCCTCCTCAAGGAGTCCCAGGCTGCACTAGGAGTGCTACAGCTAGTTGCTGCTGCAGATATTTGCACTTGCAAATAAACAGAATTCTATGTAAGTTGCTTCCTAATGAACACTGATGCGATGCAAAGGAAACTTTTTGCATGAGCCACTATGACAGATCGTGGAGGGGTGTTGGCTCGGTCCACCTGGAATGAGCTGTCACCTCATCAGTCAGTCAGAACCACGCTCTGCATCTCTGCTCCGGAGCTGCGTGATGACACGTGAGGTACGAACTCTTCAAAATGTTTTCTCACAATTACGTCTAAAACTGTCTAAACTTTACGGCATCAGAACGTTTTTAATCCAAATGTTCTTATTTTAGGAGAAAAGTAATACAAAGAGCAGATTCAGTCGGAGTGCAGTGCATGTGTTAGTTGAGCCGGTCTCACCTGGTGAGGAAAGTGTGTGCAGACAGGTACTGCTGAGCCAACAGGGGCCCGAGAGGAGCTGATGGGCCTCCAGGCCCCCCAAATAATCCTGAAGGTACAGGGCCAACCGTGGATAAAGCACTTTGCTGGCTGCGCCGGGCGTCCCCGTGGGGCCCGTGCCTGAGGTTAGGGATCGGGTGCAGGGCGGTCAGAGGAGTGTTGGGGAGCGGCAGGGGGGGCTTGCTGTGACCGAGGCTGATGACTGGAATGTGTGGAGGGAGAGGAGATGATGATGATAGTGGGGCAGCTGTGATGAAGGACGGAGGTGTTAGAGAACACGGAGAAGTCTTGGCTGGTGCTGGGAGGAGCGGAGGTGGAGAGGAAAGACTTGGCGACCCATCAGTCGGAGCGGCAGACGTGATTTTTAGTTTGTCTGCCTCGTTCTCCAGCACCGTCTCCATAGCGACAGGCTCAGGTGCATCAGCTGTACCGTCTTGGTGACTGGTTACCAGGATGATGGGAGGTTGAGCTGAAGTGGAGACCTTCCCTGTGTGCCTTGATTTCACAGGATGTGAGGTTCTCCGGAGCTCCAGAGATGCTGAGTCTGAGTCCTGCAGGGGACTGTGCTGCTCCACGGACCGACAGGACGATGAGGAGGCAGACGATGAAGAAGGGGAGGCAGGGCAAGGTAGTTGGTGAGGTGAGGCAGGTGGAGCCGTGTGCTTCAGTTTCTCCATCATGATGGTGAAGTCTTCACAGTGAGCACCTGTTTCTGTCCAGGTGTGGGTGTCCTCGTCCCTGCGGAGTGTTTTTATAACGAGCTCATGTCCAGCAGTCCTCTAAACCTCTCCTTATCAAAAACCTCAGACATGTTGCTGCTCCTCACATAAAACTCAGACTTTCCCTGAAGGACCCTGAACTCCATCAGATGTTTTGGTCTGCATCAGCAAGTCTTGTGTCTTTGACTGATCCAGAGCTGCGCACGTTTAGAGGTCACACTTTTTAAAAACACACACACGGACCTCGGTCGGTCTTCACAGAAACCACATCACTGCTTCGGGCATGGAAACCTCCCGGCAGGTTTGGTCTGAGCACCTCCTGAGCACGTGACCCGTCGACGTGAACACAAGTCCTTGAGTTTGTTGTCCACTCCGGCAGCCGTCCTGTTTTACTTGGAACTTGGTCCGAGTCCGTCTGAGCCACAGTTTGAACCCAGCGCTGAGTTGTCGGTGTGACTCCCAGACTCAGAACATCTTTTAGGACTCAGAGCGCTGAAGCTCCTTGAAGACTGCACAGATACCAGAGTCTGTTGAGCAAAGGACAAAGAAACACTCAGAACATATTTGGAGGATATTTATGTAAAAACAGGAAGTAAAATCTGAACTTCCATGACCGACGTCAGTTTAGATGTGGCGGTAATGAAAGTGCTGCAGTAAACTTTGAGTGGTGCTCGTGTTCATCTCTGGAGAGACGCTACTTGTAGTTTAGAGCCAGGCAGGGCGCGGAGACGCTCTCACATTTTGCAATCACAACTGTTCCTGTTTCTTGTCCTTTATTTTGGACAGTTCTGTGTTTCTGTGACGCCTCGTCAGCGCGTTTTAAATAAAACACTCTGCAGCTCCACCAGAAACAAGACACACTTTAAAATGTTTGTATGAAAGTTATAGTTTTTACTTTATTTTAATTTGTCCTGTTTTGTTTGTTTTCATTTTTGTCCAGTAATATTTTATTTTCATATTTATTCAGAAATTTTTATTTTATTTTGAACAAGTTAACTCAAAAATTCCTGTTTTTCTAATCACTTTGTCATCCTTCAAAATTTTTTATGATTTAAATCAAATTATAAAAGTTTATTTAAATTTTTATTAAAAACAGAATTATTCTAATAATTTCCTGATCGTATTAAACGTCTCTGCAGATGTGCCACATGTGCCATTTGGTACATTCAAGAACCCTTTACCAGACCATTTCATTACAACATATTTTAGAAGCTGAATATAAAAGTAAAGAAAAAATGAAATACCAAAGATCGTCTCAGTATTCGGAGTACTTAAAGATTGAAATACCAAAGATCGTCTCAGTATTTTGAGTACTCAAAGAATGAAATACCAAAGATCGTCTCAGTATTCGGAGTACTTAAAGAATGAAATACCAAAGATCGTCTCAGTATTCAGAGTACTTAAAGAATGAAATACCAAAGATCGTCTCAGTATTCAGAGTACTTAAAGAATGAAATACCAAAGATCGTCTCAGTATTCGGAGTACTTAAAGAATGAAATACATAAGATCGTCTCAGTATTCAGAGTACTTAAAGAATGAAATATCAAAGATCGTCTCAGTATTCAGAGTACTTAAAGAGTGAAATACCAAAGATCGTCTCAGTATTCGGAGTACTTAAAGAGTGAAATACCAAAGATCGTCTCAGTATTCGGAGTACTTAAAGAATGAAATATCAAAGATCGTCTCAGTATTCGGAGTACTTAAAGAGTGAAATACCAAAGACCGTCTCAGTATTCAGAGTACTTAAAGAATGAAATATCAAAGATCGTCTCAGTATTCGGAGTACTTAAAGAGTGAAATACCAAAGACCGTCTCAGTATTCAGTGTACTTAAAGAGTGAAATATCAAAAACCGTCTCAGTATTCGGAGTACTTAAAGAATGAAATACCAAAGATCGTCTCAGTATTCGGAGTACTTAAAGAATGAAATACATAAGATTGTCTCAGTATTCAGAGTACTTAAAGAGTGAAATATCAAAGATCGTCTCAGTATTCGGAGTACTTAAAGAATGAAATATCAAAGATCGTCTCAGTATTCGGAGTACTTAAAGAGTGAAATACCAAAGACCGTCTCAGTATTCGGAGTACTTAAAGAATGAAATATCAAAGACCGTCTCAGTATTCGGAGTACTTAAAGAGTGAAATACCAAAGACCGTCTCAGTATTCAGAGTACTTAAAGAATGAAATACCAAAGACCGTCTCAGTATTCGGAGTACTTAAAGAATGAAATACCAAAGA